GTTGTGGAATATGGGATTGGACAGTGGAAGGTTGTTTGCGGGTTGAAAGGTGGAATAGCGACAACTCAGGTGTTTAGCACTAGTTATAGATGTAGGGGAGTAGGCAGGGTAACAGGATGGGTAAGGAAACCCTGGTAGCGGTAAGACAGGGAGGAAAGGGGGGCTAGAGGGTGTGACTGGGAGCAGGAAGGGGTGGGAAATGGAGACCGAAGGGTTGTCAGAGTGGTGACAGCAAGCAGGGAAAAGAAAGATGCACACCACCTCGGCCGAGTTACAGCCGGAGCACATTCTCGCCATCGGATACAGCCTTAGAAGAGGAAAAGAGGTTTTCGACGACTAACCCAACAGAAATCACAACTCAAACTCAGAAAAGCTAATCTTAAACACAACAAATAACCTATTTATAATAGTAGATACGTAAGGAGGGGGGAGGTCCCTCCCCTTGGGCGGTAAAACTCACCCCCTTGGACTGGTTGGTCCGAACAATAGTAGGGTTGAACCGGTTCAGCTAAACCAACTGATTCAGCACTGCGTTAGTCTCCTAAGGTTGAGGGAACTTCAACTTCATTCATCGAAGTTTTTGGCTCTTCATAGCACGGTGTCAAATGCCCCAGGAGGTCGATCAAATAGGTGTTGTCGTTCCAAAGCACAATTTGATAGAATAGGTATTCGTCCACCTTTGGCACAACCTGAGTTAAAACTATAAATAGACAAGTATTCTCACGAATCAAGTATCGGGTCATCCAGTTGTAACCTGCTTCTTCCACTCCTGTCTTGACATCTAACGATGGGTACCAAGCTGAACTGAAAATAGTCTCTAAATAACTCTATGTAATAGTCTTAAAATGACACAAAATAACCCCACTTCTGACATGTTGAACCTCCCTCAATAGGGATAACTCAGGAAAAGGTCTGCACATCCGAAAAATGTGTATTTCTCTTATTTGTGGTGATCTTGCATCGGATGTTAACTCCTCAAACTCATGACCCTTTTGGACATCCAAGGTCATTCATGTTGATGTTCCTCTCAACGACTAAAAAACGGTAGCTCGAGGTACCACAATCTCATACCCTGCATAAACGCCCATGACCTCAAACTCAACACCTAGAATTGTTACTATCAACTCAATGGGAATCTCTCTCCTATGTTCAATTGGAACCGATATTGTTTCTTCCTCATTGGCTAGTAGCTGTTATTTCTCTTTTGTGTTCACACTCTCTTCAGTGTCTGTGATTTCCTTAACCAAATTTTCTAAGACACCCTCCTTGGTAAAACAGATCACTCCCTCATTGTGCATTATGATTAAACATTCTCAAATCTATGGCACCTGGAACACTTCCTGACTGTAACAAATTTAAAGATGTGAATTGATTTCAAATGTTCTCCACTCTGAATCAGTTTGTCCTCTGACAAGGTCGTCATGGGTGTTCTCTTGGGTGTAATCTGGCTATAAGATTCTAAGTTTGAACTCTACCTGTAAGACGTGAGGTCGCTAGGTGATGTGGTCTCTCCACTTCTGAAGCTAGAGTATGCATCTTCTGTCTGTAGAAAATTGGTAAGAACTGGTGTTATGTCTCCCACATTATCTTCAGATTTTCTTGTTCTCAACATGTTGACTCTTCTCTCGGCTTCCTCTGATACTGAATTCTACAACATCGTGGCCGGTCTTCTGTATCACTAAAATCCTCTCGACAGAAGCGATTCAGATTCTCGTCTCTAGCTCCCTTGCAACTCTTTCAATCCAAGTTAAAGTAATCTCCCCCTGGGTTTCATCCTTAATGTCCGCAAGTCTCCGGTGAAGTCGGTGGATCTCTCGTTTTATCTCTTCCCAGATAGGCTCGGGGGTGTATCTCCTTGGTGGCATAATGAAAATTTAGAGTTGGGAGGTGAAAGAGGATGTAGAGGACTAATCAATGGTATCTAGAATTTGATTTAGGGTTGCAGATTTTGTAAAACAGCAAAGGAGAATTAGGGTTAGGTCAAAATGTGGCAAAGGTTTGGCAATAGGAAAAAAAAATTTGGTGGAGGGTAAGGTGTATACTAAGAAACCCTAGGATAAGACTAGAGTTAAGCTAGCTCTTACACCAAATGATACCAGAGTTGACCCAAACCACAATAGAAAACGGAAATATTATTGTTGAATGTTAAACCAAGACTCTTCAAAACAGGAAATAAACGAAAAACAAACAATAAACAACACCTTAGAACGACGCGGAAGAGTCGGATGGCCACTGCACAGCAGGAGAAGTGCGGGTTGTGGTTGTGGCAGCCGAGGCAAGGTAGGTCTAGGGGTTGCGGCTAGCTGACAGCAGAGGTGAGTGGACCTGACTGCGAATGGTCATGGAAGGAAGAAGAAGGGTCGAGGTTGGCGAATGGATGAGGGAATGTGAGTTGCAGCTGTATAAGAGGATGGCTAGGAGATAGGGGTGCTCTGAGGTGGAAGAGACAAAAAAGTTGAATGGCACGTTGGTAGCAGGTGTTGTGGAATATGGGACTAGATAGTGGAAGGCTATAGGAAGGCTGGAAGGGGGAACCAAGACACTTCAGGTGTTTAGCGGTAGCTGAAGATGTAAGGGGGCGGGCAGGGTAATTGGATGGGTGAGGAAACCCTGGTAGCAGTAAGACAAAGAGGAAAGGGGTGCTAGAGGGCGTGACTGCGAGTAGGAAGGAGTGGGAATCAACGACCGGGGGGTTGTCGGAGCAGTGACAGCAAGAAGGAAAAGGGAAGACACGCACTACCTTGGACGGGTTACAGTCAGAGCACCTTCTCGCCGTCGGATACAGCCCTGAAAAAGGAAAAAGGGGACACCAACAGCTGTCCCAACAGAAATCATAACTCAAACCAAGAAAAACTAACCTTAAACACGACAAATAACCTATTTATAATAGTAGATAGTTAAGAAGGGGGAGAGACCCCTCTCCTCGGGAGGTAAAACTTGCCCTTTTGGACCAGCCAGTCCAAAAAATAGTTGGGTTGAACCGGTTCGGACCTCCTAAGCCCAGCGTCACTTACCCAAAGTAAAATAGGCATAGAAGCAGTTTATGGTGTAGCCCCATAAATCTCAAATTTTGGGGAATCAATGCACGTTCGAATAAAAACAATCTCCAGGTGCATTTAGAAACATTACATATAGACATGCAAACTACATAGACATATTCCCACACATTGATGCACACAATACATGCAACTGTCCACAATGGCACTCCATCAATCATACATACATACAAGCACGTTGAAGTTCCAACAATAGATGCACGCATGAATGCACATTTATAATACATGTGCCATGTACATGCCACACTCCTACATCCATGCTCAAGCATGCAAAATATGTGAACTCGCATGGTAATTAAGCATAGAAAACATGAACTGAACTTCATACAACTTTAGACGCACGCCTTGGTAAATAAATGTCTCGTAAACGTAACACAAACACACTACATAACTTGTGTAATAATTCTATAATCGCAAAGCACAGAATAAAAAGAAAAACTGCACTAGGAAATGTTGAGCACAAGTGCAAGCATTGCCATTGGAAGTCATTGTGACTCTATAAGCATTATTCAGATAGGGTTAACATCAAATGAGGCGAGAATGTCGTCTGAATTACTTGGTATTCTATTTATGACACTTTACGTTAGCAACAGAAAAGTCAAAGTTCAAAACAAATAAAGAAAATTTAATAAGAAAAATAACATTTGCAAAATAGATGACAAATTTCAAAAATCTAAAACCATAGGTAAAGGCTTTAAATCTAATTTCGAAAAAAGGGCTATAGAAGAGCCTCTTACAACTCAAACAAATTATAAGCTACTTATGAAATCTCAAGTTATTCATAACAATCTCAGTATTCATGATAAAGAGCCCCTTTAATCTCTCTTCTCCAGTAAAACCTTAGATGTTAAGCAGCAAAGATGCAGGATGGCCATTTAAATTTTAAATTGGAAAAAAAAGAGATTAAAATTGTTGGACAAGAAGAAAAGATAGGTAAACAAATAGGCTTCAAGGGGACAGCTTGGACTTGCCAAATTTTCTTGGATGCTTGTATAACCTTTCTCATCTGAGCCTGTTTTCAAGAATAACTCAATTTGAGAAAGGAAGTAAGAGTTGAGGGTTTTTAATGAAAAAGGCAAATTAACTAGCTGATGTGGGTGGGATGCTGGCAGGACGCACACGGGTCACTATCACGCATGCGCGCTATTCCGTTACTGTTGGTGCAGTACCGGGCACGAGAGTGGAGTAGCAGCATGGACCAGTTCATTATCACAGCTTTGAGGGCCGACCAACATTTTTGCTCTTGGGGTTGCCGCCTATAGGGAGTGGGGTCCACTTCTTAGTCACCCTAATATTATATATGCTGTTTTTTAATGTTTTGAGTCAATTTTTAATTTAAGTTTGTTTAGACAGCCGTCGGAGTTCGTTTTCTCCCTTTGTGGATTAGTAGTGTTCCGGCTGTATCTCTCTCCCAATGTGGTGTTTATCTTCCCTAATCCCCTTTCACGTCCTCCCCACACTGTTCCCACCCGTTGTTTCCTACTGCAGCCGCCCGGAACAACTGCCAACTCTATTCTTCTTACAGTTTCTGAATTCCAGCCCAAGTTCCCTGCCATTCCAGCGCTCCCTCTAGCTGCCATAATAATTCCAGCCAACAGAAATCCCCTCCCTTTCGCACCAGCTGCTATTCCAGCCATCTCGGACGGTCGTTGGATATGGCTAATGATTTTTTTTTTTAGGTATGACTATTGATGATGATGAAGCAATACAGCGAATTCTTGTCAATAGAATAAAATGTAGACGACTGATCATCTGATTAATGCTAAAAACTGACAGTTACTTCAAGAAGCAACAAGTTTTGTGTGCCAAATCAAATGACCACTAAATTATAAATTGTCACTTATCAACAAGAAACGGTAAACAAAAGAGCTTATGCACCATCACCTTATAAAGCTTCAGATTAAAGAATTGAAATTACCAGCATCGTCATGAGAAGTTCCTCACCGCTAAATTAGGTATGCTGGAAGCATAATCATAGATGAAACATGAAATGTTCTCTTCCTCCGTTCCTAGAATTATCAAACATATTAATAAAAATGAAATATTATAGACATAACCTTCAGAAGTAATAATCGCCATTTGATCCAACAAAGGATTGATCCTTAAAAGCCATATTTAGGACAAAATGGAAAGCAGCAACCAAGCACAAATCTAGAGCTATACCATCTCACCATTTAGGAATAATATTAAGAAAGTCCTTGCTATTCAAAAAGTAGGACGTTTATCAACATGACCGAACTTTTATATCAAGACAGAATATAAGATTTACATGCTTAAACTTTATTAATAAAGGCATTGTTAATGCAATGGGAAGAAATTTCTTAAATTATAAGCATGTACTGCATTTCCATTTTCCATGAATCCATTGCTGGCAAGACCAATGCTAACTGATGTCTGTTAGGACTTGCCTCATGTAATCTCATCTAAAATAGTATTGGAAATAATTGGGCATAACCGGAAGAAGTGCAGAATACAATTCGAACTCAAAGTTCGAATTGTATTCTGCACTTCTTCCGGTTATGCCCAATTATTTCCAATACTATTTTAGATGAGATTACAATCCAAGAGTTGGAATTGTATTCTGCACTTCTTCCATTTATGCCCAATTATTTCCAATACTATTTTAGATGAGATTACATGATGCAAAATTCAACAAATGCTACTTTTAAGTTAAGTGGTGCAAAAAAGCAACTGAAATTTTTTCATCATAGAATTATTCTAAATAAAAATAAATGAAGATAAATGTCTAAGAAAATTATTGAAGATGGCACTTTAAACCATTGACTATGAATACTACATAGTCAAACAGCAAAATCAAGCCAAATTAGGCAAACATTATGATAAAATGAAAACATGAGCACAAATCTTCTAAGATATTTCAAATATTAAAATTTCATCAGAGCAGCAATGTCATAAAAGATTTCTCAAAAGGGAAGACCACTCAGACCATGCTTTTCAAAATGCGACATCCTTTCTAGTCGCCTTTTTCCTTATTTGGTAGAGTGGCTGATAGTTCAAGACAATATAAACAACTCATATAAAATTCAGTGCACAAAACAACTAGCTTTCAATGCTCAAATCACTCATCTTCATTTTCCTTTCAATTATTTTGTATAAAAAACATGTTTTGTTACCTATATACAATTAATTAAAATAAATTTACACTCAAGTGTCATATTGAATGGATGTATTGTTCAATATTTATTCGTTGCACAAAAGTGCCACTCTTTTACAAAAATATTAATAATTAGAAAATTGATCCAGCTTCTAATATTAAGGAAGGTTAATTATACAAAAACGAAAAGACAGCAACAGCACACCTCTAATCTTGAATGCCAAAATAAACTTCTCAATAAAATTCTCTAGCTTCAACCTCCCTATAGATTTAGATATGCATGATGCAAGCTCCAATGACAAAATACCACCCATATCAAATGCTTCTAGTAATTGGATCAGCTCCTCCTCCATATCATTTTCACATAAGGCCAACAAATAGCTCTCTGTAGAACAAATAAGTTGAAAAAGTGAAATTCAGAGAAAACAAGAAAATACCAGCAAAAATTACTAAAAATACTAGCATGGACTAATTCGCCCAAATAAAACAGGGTAACAAAGTGAAATTGGTGTTCTAGTAACAGAAAACTTCATCATTAAGTTGTAAATTTAAATATTCTGCTGACAGTGAAAATATGAACTTGAAAATGCATTAAAACAATTCATCTAAGCTTCTGTTTATTTAATTTTTTTTCATGCATGAATTCACGTAATAAAACTGTTTGGTATGGAAAAATAGATAAAATCAGAAACTTGGCAAACACCTTCCATCTTAAGAGACATTCCGACAAATATTTCAGTAAAACATGGAATCCTGTACACCAAACAAAATGAATCAAAAGAAAATAATCAAAAAATTAAAAAAAGTAGAAAATCAATTTCACAAAGTTTTGGTTTGGCCCGAGGAATCATAATTGTATCTGCAAGCAATTAGTTACATTCTATTACTGAGGAATTAGGAAAAATTCATTCGCTCATTATTATAAACTTCAGAGGTTGAATGGAAACCCAAGTAGAATAAAGTTCACTGGGGATTCTCATTTAGATGCATCCGTTAGAGTCGGATAGGCTTCATCAATGGACTGGAATACAGTTTAACATGCTTTGGGAAAAGATCTCTCATAACCCTGCTCAAGTAAACCAATCCCCATTAGTTTTTGGATTAGTATCCTATGAAAATATTTCAAATCCATAGAATAAAAAAAATGTGACTTGTGATTTCAAAATAAATTTCTACGCTTGGTTTGAAAACAGAAATCATCACCCATTATCCACAAAAACATATACTTCATTATGGTAAAAATGTTATAGCACCTTTAGAAAAACATTCCCCTGTATAATTTTATTATTACCCAATCATCACCATTCGTTTACAAAAATTCATCCCTTCATTCAAACAAAAACTTTACAGCATGACGGCAAATTGTCCCTCTTTACTTGTGTTTTTTTCTTAAGTCAAAAGTGGGAGTCTAAATGGGAAGCACAACATCACTCTTACAGTTCATTTCAGTTTGTCTTTAAGGATTTGTGTAATAAGCAGAGAGGAAGCAAAAGCTGAAGTGAAGTTTAAGGCACCCTCTATGATCTCTGCCAAAGGGATCAATAAAATCCTCAAACAAGATAACTGTGCAGAGCCAGCACTAGGAATATCAAAAGTGAATACCGAAATATCTTTTGTTTATCACCATGAGAAGCAGCAAATCACAGAGCACATGCAGATCTCTCGTGCCTTATCTTACTGTCAACCTCACCTCTCTCACTTGTTGTTCCAAAAAAATAATTGTTTTCACCATTGTTGGTATGAACTCTACGCAGCAGTTGAAGCTCTAATTTCTGCATATGTTCAACATAAGAAGATATATCATATTATAAAGTTATGATTCGCTCCACAATTTTTTTAGAGTGCTATCTTTTTATAATATTATCTATTTCTATTAATTTTCTAAGACTTAAGAAGATGTTTCAATAGTTTTTTATTTTCCATGAGTGCAAAGAATAAGTACAAGAGAATAATAAGCATGGTTTTTTTAAATATAAAGTAGAGAAGAAGGATAAATATCTAATTGAATAATATAATTCTTGATGAAGCACTTAGTATTTGATGATTTGGTTATTGCCAATTAATAGTAGATTAATCACTTACTTGAGTGGTAATGCTAAATAAAATAAGTACACAAGTTAAGGCTTGAAAGCTTATCGCTTCCCAAAATAAAAGTGATAATGGTATTCCTCGGTATTTTATCATAACTTAGAAGGTATCTTGATTTTTTAACTTGGTTGATCAGTATAATTAACTTGGTTGATCAGTATAGTATAAGGATTTTTATGTAATAAATAGATTTATCTAATTATTTTTCATAGATGTGAGAATGCACACATGTTTGTTTAAAATATTTCATATAGAATAACAGTACAGATCTACATGAAAATTATGATTTTTGATGAACCATGTGGTATTTGATGATTTTGCTATCGTAGGTTAATGTTAGTTTAATCACTTAGTTGAGAGGTTCATAGTGATTATGCTAAATGACTGAAATATACCAGTTAACTAAAGCATGAAAAGTTTGTTTCTTTCCAAAATAAAAGATATAATTGGTATTCCTCAATACAAATTTGTCATAACTTCTAGGTTCTACTCCTTAGAGATTTTGTGCTACATCATTAGTATAAGGACCTTAAGTACAAAATAAAATTATCTAAAAAGTTTTTTCATAAGAGTAATGATAAGTGCACGAGATTGACATTGAGAAGAAGCATAAATATCAAATTAATAATCATAATTCTTGATGAACAACTTAGTATCTCTTAATGAACAACTTAGTATCTAAAGATTTGGTTGAGTAAATTAATATTAGTTTAACCGCTTACTTAAGAAGTTCATAGTCGAGATGCTAAATGAAATACATATAAATATTAATCAAAGCTTTTAAAGTTTGTTGTTTCCCCAAAAATGAAAGATATAATGATACGTTTAACACGTGAAAGACATAAGTTATCTCACATATTTTAAAAATTAATATTTCTTCATCCCGCTTTGTTTTAAGATATTGATATGATATATTTTTAGTGAGAGCTAAATGGAACTAAGTAGTCAAGTAAAAAAATCATGATCATACAACATTAGAAGTAAATATACTAAAAGATATAAGACAAATATATACCTATCATAAAACTAAGAATGATAGAGATCTATAAACCTGGTGTAATTTCAAATTAAAAAAAAGATCCATATGCCTGCTAAATCTACTTCGAAAAATGAAGAAATAAATAAACAAAACTTGTATCAATTTTTTAAAATCATGACAGGTATTTGATGCGGATACATTTGAACTGCTATATGCTAAAAAGTTGGTTGTGATTTCATAGAAAAAATCATGGCTATTTAATCCAACCAAATTTATTGAATGATAAAAGGAGTTTATAAACTACTCAAGAAATTATGACTCTGGATCATTAACTATCATTCATTAAATTATTATTTCACTCTTTTTGTGCCCAAAATATGAAGATATTCAACTTAATTGAGTAAATACACTTATTGTTGCAGGAAATAAGATGACTAAAAAGTATTTGTTGGAAATGATAGAGTTAAACTTTACTCTAAAATTTATCAATAAACTTATTAATCAATGATAAGACCATGCTAAAGAAACAAACAAGAGAGGAATTAATTTTTATTGCTCCGATCACCACCTGAGCGCATGAAAACTCTCTCAAAAAATGTTATAAAGATCAAACATGAGAGCAATATTAATCTTTCTGCCTCAAAATGCTTTCAATATCCTTGTCTACAGCTTATAGGACTTCAATTTTACCCCATCACATTGATTTAAATCATTGATCTTAAATTTACATTCCCTTTTTCCCTGCGTGGAATACGGGAGTAATATCAACTCAAGTTAGAGCGAGCTGACCTAAACTTTGGGTTGAAGAATTCGGCTTTGACTCGAGCCAAGTTCAAATCAATTAATCAATGATCAGGTATCGGGCTGATTGAATGAATTCTATTGATATTATTAGAAAATTTTAAGCAGTGTGAATATTAAAATGTTTAAAATAAATATTTAAAGAATATTATCAAAGATATATATATGCTTTTATGTGTATATATTTTAGAATATTAGATTACATTTCACTGATTTTTAATACAATTACATAGAGTTTTAGTACATTAATGATGCATATATTTGAATATTGTTACTAAAACATTTAAGTATTGTTCACTCACTAATAAAATTCTATTCAAAATAGTAGAAGTTATATGTTTATTAATCTGACATCAACTTTTATTTTGCAGATAAGGAAATAAATAAAATTAAAAAGCACAAAAAAAATCAAAATATTAATTAACAAGCAATCTGTCTTCTTGTTGCTGAATTTTATCCTACTAATATGCACTTGGTGCAAATGTAATTAAGTAGGAAAAATAAGGCTCGCAGGCACAATTATGTGTAAACTTCAATCATTTCAATGTATTTCACAGCAAATATGAGTATTAAGTGAGGCCAAAAAACACCAAAATTTATTCGAAGTTCGTTAAATAGATTTTCAGTAAATTTGAATCAAACTCCATCATATAAAAAACATAAAAAGTTGAGCTTGTAAGGATGGACTGAATTTTGTAGAGAGCTGCTAGCAGCAAACAAATAAAGGAGGAATTAAAATAACAAAAGAAAGTTCATGCATTCAAGTGAAAGAAAGGAATTCAATCAATAGTCATAACATGTGCAGGTTGATCATCTTCCTAAAAGTAGGGAGCATTCCAAATAGAGAATAAACTTACGAAATCTAAAAGACAATGTAGATCTGAATTTTATAGCAATTTTGATAATAGAAGATTGAATACCTGCTAATTTATTATTATCAGCGCCCCAGCCAGCTGCTATGGAGCTGCATAGTTCCTTAATTCTGCATTTATCACCAATCTTAATCAAAAATAACATCTCATAATAACCTAATTTGGTGTAGGATCCATCGTCATAATCTTTAATAAAGTCAGTAAAGACTTTGAATTCATCCCTCATTCTCATGTCAATCATATACACGAAAAGAGGACCATAACAATCTTCCGGAATCTGAAAACCCCTTTCTCTCATGGATTTAAAGAGATGAAACAACTTTTGAAGATAACCCAAAGAATCTTTAACATTAATGCTTCTAGCCTTTCCTAGCCAGAGTGTTATCAATGTCTTATATTCCTTCAAGCTTATTTGTCTACCTAACCTACCAAATAAACCTAGGGTAGATTCAACATCCAGCTTCTCTCCACATACTTCCATAAGTTTTAAAAAATGCCGAGACTTCACGTTCTTCAAAATAACCTTTTGCTTCCGAAATCTAGATGTTTCCTTCTTCCTCTGATGTAAGCCATTCAGATACTGATTTCCGCAAGGGTCCTCAAAGTTCGCCTGTGTCGTAGGTGATTCGGGGTCATCAAAACCTGAAAATAAACCGAAACATTTAAAGGCAACACAAGTAAAGAGGAAAAATAGCAGAAACAGCGGAAGAGAAGCGTACTGGGAATGATGGAAGATATCTCACTCGTTATTTCAGCACATGATTCCTGCGCTGTAACCAACCAGGAGAAGAACAATCAACAACAAACTCACGCACAAAAAGGCGTGAGAAATAAATTCTAAGCCGAACAATTGGCCTCGCCTTACCAGGGCCTTGCGGAGACGTTTTCTTTAACTGCAAAACGAACATGTCGGCTAGGCTGGAGATGGCCCTCTTTGAACTCTCCGTAGGAACGGAGGAGGAGTTGGGAGAGGTCGGAGGATTGCCATATGGTTTGTTGAGAAGCTTGTTTATGGTTGGGAGCCCAGAGGTGGCCGGGTATACCTCGGCGACGTTTGACTTGAAGGCCTTCAGCAAGGCGGAAAACAAGAGCTTTCCACTGCTCTTGGGCATAGCCACTCGCCGCCGGCGGGAAGGGTTTTGAGTTCCAGCGGTTCGTCTCCAGCGCCGGGGCACTGAATCATGAAAAGCTGGACAGCCGAGCCCGGTTTAGACATCAAGCTGGTGGGGGCACGCTTGGACCGGACTTTTAAACCTAAAAAAGCCGGTGGTTCTTCTCCCCACTCATTATTGTGGACAACAAAACCTAAGCCTTAATGTTCTTACATTCTTTTGATCAACTCTTTAATTGCAATTTTTTATTTTTCATGCTCAATTTATGTCTCTTTGAAATCAAAAGAGTCATTGATATTCTATTATTTATAGAATTTAACTATTAATATAACTTAAATCCAACTAAATATTGAAAGAAAAAAAATTAAATTAAATTTGATCTGAGTTCTCTCGTGTTCTGTAACTTTTGAGACTTAAACAGGATTTATTCATCGTCGCTCGTGATTGCTCCCCGTCACCAATTGGAGATTTAATAATATCGGAATTGATAGATCTTATTTAACCTAAATCTATCTTGGAGCCAAACACCTCCCACGCTAGTTAGAAATAAAACTCAGGTAGATTAAAGTTAATCTCTAACGATTAAGTGTGTCAGGATTGTGTTAACCCAAAGGGCTTCGTTTTTATTTGTTGAAAAGAAATATAATTGATACTCCATCAATAAATTTTCATCTAGTATAAATATTGAGGCATTACATAAATCTCAAAAAAAAAAAAAAACAATTGAGCAAGAAACGTCCAAATTGCAATTAAAATTTATCCATAACTCAAATTCCAACAAACTTATAGTCAAACTGACTGACTCGACTAGACAGACAAGATGGTATTAAAGTTGATTCAATCTGCGTCGTATTAAGCCCAAATAGAACCGTTAAATCATTTTTTAAAACTTTTGGTGTCCAATGAAACGTCAAATTGATTCTAAATCTGACAAACTTATAGTAAAATCGAGCATTCCCATGAGAGAAATCTAACAAGCCTAAAATAGATCAATTTTCACACATTTAGGGCACTCACGTGTATGCAGAAAACCGTGTGATCAAAGGGAACTCTCAAGGTCATCGATGAAGTGATATGGATTCTGTCATTATTTGTCAGGAGGTTTTTCTCAAACTCAATAAATAAAGTCTTATCCCCTTCATGAAAGGGAACCTAGACTGTGAACTAGTAGTATATGACCTGAACTTTGAGGAGGATTGGGAGAAAAAGGAGTTGGTCCAATGTTCAACACCGAAGATCCGATGAATACTTCCCACTCATGTCGTTGTCGACAGCCACTGACCATTGATCATTAGCACGATCACCGCCAACCGCCCCTTGCTCGTGTCACCAAAGCACCATGTTGGACAACGACAAACATTGTGAAGTAACAAGCACAGTACGAAGTAGCAGCCAATGTCGTAGAGCAGCGTGTCATCCTAAGCACCGTGCAATACGAACAATGTAAGTGTGTGACCTTGTCACATTTGTGGGACAATGGTCTGTATCTATATTCATTAAACTATATTTGATTATTTTTTTATCGGACTAGGCCTCAGGGGTTTTTCCTTTTATGAGTTTTTTAGGTAAATACTTTTATTGTCTTAACTTATCATTTTTATTCTTTGAATGCGTTGGATTCTCGTACAACACTGAGATGACTCTACGACCACTAATTTTCTAGCTCGGATCAATAATGAATATGAGGTTTTGTATATTTGAATTATTTTGGGGTTATTTGGTTTCTTATAAAATTAATTCAGAAGTTATAATTTTTTTTTTATGTTTGATATGAAATAAATTGAAATAAATGTAAAACAGGGTGGATGGTGGTGATCAATAAACTGGTGGCTGGCCAGCGGTCGGCAATCTATGGCGACATGTGACATCAAATATAGTGGCAATTTTATGGTATAATTGAAAATCATACATTTTTTTTTTTTGTATTTAGAATACACTAATTTTGAACTACAAAGGGGTTGTTTGGTTTGCTTAAAAATGAATGCTGATGTATTTTATTTGGCATACTTTAGTGTTATTTAGTTCTGTATAAAATAAATATGACTTTGCAATTATTATTATTTTTTTATTTGAAGAAAACCAATTCAATGTAAAATAAACGGGAGCAGTGGCAGTCGATAACTAGTAAAGGCAGAAGATGGTGCGAAGTATAGGGCTTGAATTTAGCTCAAAGAATCTTAATCGCTCTAAAATTATTTCGAATTTTAGCTTGTATCAAAATAAATGAGACGTGTTATGAGCCAATGCTTCCGATTGAATTTTTTATGAGCCGATTTTGAGTCATATATGGATCGGCTCGAACTAGTTGGAGATCAGTTCAAAGTATTTTTTTTTATTTATAAAAAATATATACAATGCTAAATAAAATCAATTTGAACAAGCTACAAGGGGATTTCAAGCTCAAATGGATCCAAATAACTCAAATTGTGCTATCTTGTTTTGATTTTGAGTTGGTTTGATCCGATTTTGAGCTGGAACGGATCCAAATAATTCAAATTTGAGCAAGCTCACTTCGATTTCGAGTTGGATCAAGCTCGTATCAATTTCAATTCGAACCAAGCTCGATTCAATTTCGAGCCAAAGTTGGCTGGAAATCAAACCTAACGAGCCACAAGTCAATTTTGATTTGAACTCAATCCAATTGATTTGATTTCAAGTCGGCCCTAGCTCAGCTCAAAACCAACCCGTTCACAACCCTATTGGGTGATGGCTGATGGCAAATCACAGTTGTGGGCGACATCGAACAGAGGGTCATGGCAGGCAATTGTTAGGCTATAGAAGGCAAAAGACGATCGATGGTCAGCAACAACAACGACGGCTGGCAGTTGCAACAAACAATAGCAGGATGTGGCCGCCTCACACTACAGTGATTAGTGTATTTATAATTTGCCCAAATCAAGTTAATTCTAAACATATTTAAAATGAACTATAGCTTGATTTCAAAAGACATGGAAGTTTTACATCATTATGATTATTTCTTCCAACTAAATACTTAAATATTTAAAACTCCTACAAAAAAGAAAATGTAACGTACTACTTTTAATGTTGACCAAACAAGCCCCCAACCCACCCCCCAACCCACCCCGTTAAAATCTTACATTGTATTTCAATTTCATCAAATCAAAAACCAAAATTGTAAGTCCATGCAATCCATTTAAAATACACCACTCGACAACACTTAAGTTATTACAGCATATAGAATAACAGTGAAACCATCACGATTCATCGTCAGCACTATCTTCATGAAAAGGATATGCTTATTGGGATTTTATCAAAATCAATTGTTTATTAATGTCAAATTGTCATTGTTAATATCTTGATCCCATAAAACCCCATTGCTAGATTGTAGCTCTATCTAATCATTTTGTCTTAATTTATATTTTCAGTGCTACTCCTAAAGCGCACTCTCCTTGAATGAATTGAACTAACGCTACAACGCCAAAGTGGCACGTGTGTGTCAAATTCTCCTACTTTTCTCATTACCACAAATTTGAAACATCATATCTTTTATAAAATGTCTACCAAGTATAACAATTTTCGAGTCATTCTTACATATTTACATAAAGAACATGTGCAACATATAAAATATTCACTGCAACTATGTTTATAATTTGATTTTCCTCTTTCTCACTACTTTTCTTAGAATGAAAGCACGAGTCATAATCCTTGTATCCCTAAACTATAGCTGCTCATTTTTATAGTACAAATAATTTGGCTAAATCACTTAAATCTTGACTTTCATCTATTTTATTTTATTTCTTTTTTTATTTCTAACAAAAACTCACTCATCACGATAAAATATTGTTGTTGAACAATAAATTTGCATAAAATGTAAGCATCTTTCATTGCACATTTGAGAAGAAAAAGACATTTACATCTTTAGGACGTTATTTTATCGTAACATTAAACTAATTGAAATATTCACAAGGGATTTGTATACAAACTCTGATTGGAAATCTCCTATCTCCCAACACACTTTTGAAGCCAAAAAAAGGTGAATAAACTCCACATCATGCATAAATGTTCCCATATAGACATGGTATCTCAAGTTACCTAAAAAACATAGCTCCCTTATTAAACTTGTAGCCCAACCAACTCATATGGCATTGCTCATAAAAACTAGGCTATAACACCTAGATTCATATGCCTTATTAGAGTTATCCATATGCAAGTAGAATTTAATTATCAATCATTTGTCATGTGTAGCATAGCTTGTCATCTTCAAAATGAAATCTATGAGATGTTGATCTATTGTCATTTCACAAATCAATCAAAATTGATTAGCTTTATTCATTCATTTAATTATCATATGCTATATGACCATATAATTTGAATGATATAATGTCACACTATTCTTATCAATTTAGCTTGCTCCAACCAGCGGAACATTTTCTCACTCAAACAAAATCCCTCATTGAATTCCATTATATCTAGTTGATGTCATAATGTTGTAGAATACTTCGCCACCTGCCCTAATCACCATAGAGACAACACATAAACACTTTATGTATGGGAGAGATATTAAGTCCTTGAAACTTTTTAGAGAGTTGTGACATCTTTATGTTTTCAACGACATCCAAGCTCATTATGATCTGTCAATCAATTAAGCGTCTTAACTCGTCATGCTTCTCATTTTAGTTAATAAAAATTATTATTACAATTTTGATTATAATAATTCCTCCGAGTTTCAAATTTCTTTTTCGAAACAAATCTCCACGATCAGAAAAGAATCTAGATGAGATTCATGGAAATTTAAATTTATCACGAATTATTATTTAAAATTATTATTTATTGTTATTATTTAATCATAAAATCAAAATAAATTCAATGTAATATGTAAATAAAAGCAACATTTATAATGAAAGATAACCAAACAACACTCCAAAAATTTGGGCCTACTTTTACAAATATTGAATTTCTTATAATATTTATATTATTTGATAATAAAATTGATTTGAAATTCAATTTAAAATTTCAATTATGAAAATCACCAAGAAGACGTGGAGGTAAATTTGGTGTTGGCATAAAAATTTTAGAATTGATTGGAAGATAATTGTTTATAATTTTTTTATGTAATTTTGATTTATTTTTTATTTAAAATTCATTTTAATTTTGCATTAATCCCAAAAATCATGAAACTCATTAAGAAAGTCATAGAGCTCATATTAATGATTTCATAAATTATTTGAACATCATTTAAACTATATGTCTCATTTATTATACAAAATTAGAGAGCTATTAATTTCTTTTCAAATATTTTTTTTTTTCAAAAAAAAATTATAATACATATCATTGTGTGTCAAAAACTTCGTTGCAATTGAGTAATAATTTGATATCTTAGCATCACACAAAGACATAACACACAGGCACAAAGAAATAAAAGAAAAGTAATAAGAGGTGACAGTCATAATTTCTATATGAAAATTTAAAAAACGAAAAAAAACACGAGATCAAATCTAGTCAAAGTAATATACTATGTAATCGTAAGTACATAGGTTATCGCTTCTCCTAAATTAAAGAAAAAAGAATTACAATGTTGATAATTATAGTTGATGTAGTTATAATAGTCACAATTTACCTACAATAAATGTAGTTTTTTAATATAATAATGATAGTTGATCACAAAGGCTCGGGTGATTGTTGTAATAGTAGTAATTAGTAGTTGGTCACAAAAGTCGTGGTTGGTTGTTATAAAGACAATGATTGACCATAAATGCTGTGGTCGATGGGTGAAATGCCAACAGTTGGCCACATAGGTCTTAGTCGAAAGTTGTAACATTAGTAATCGACCACAAAATCATAGTTAGTTGCAACAAATGCAACAGTTGGCCAAGAAGATTGTTGGTGGTGGTTGCAAGAGCTACAATTGGTGTGAAACCGCTTAAGTTGATGAAGTTGAACTATTAAAACCTTAAGGAGCATATTGGTGTAACGATTAAATTTTTATAGAAACTTCAAATTTAAATGTGTTTATATTGGAGCACTCCTAAAATGGGTGACCTCCTAGGACATTACATCAACGAGGCAAAAATTGTGTTGTTGTTTGGCTAAAGGAAACACCACCTTGCTGGGTGAGAGTTCAAACTATCACAAATGGTATCAAAGAATTGCACCAGCCGAAAGAAAGGAACTAAGTGTCATATAGAACAAAATGCTATGCCATAGCGGCGCCTCTTGAACCATGGATGGAACAAGTGAGCCACCTTTTGAATATGTAGGGGTCGTCCTTAGTGTCCTACCTGCCTGGTGAATAATTCAGAGTATAGAGCACCGAAGAGGCATCAAATACTTAAGTGAGATAGATTGTGAAACCCCTTAAGTAGATGAAGGTGAACTCTTAAAACACTAAGGCATGTTTTTTAGTAGTAGAATTTTAATAAAAACTCAAAAGTTAAATGTACACATGTTAGAGAATTCTTAGGATGGGTGACCTCTTGGAAGTTACACCAACAGGGCAAAATCATAAGACCATTTAGCCAAAGCAAAAAATACATTTATATGTGAGAGTTCAAGTTATCATGGTTGGTCACAGAGGTCATAATTGAAAGTTGTTCTAGAAGTAGTTGTCCAAAAAGGATGTAGTTAACTGCTATAAATGCAGTGGTTGGTCATAAAAGTTGTAGTTTGTGGTTCAATAGCGGCAGTTGACCACTGAGGCAATAGTTGGAATATGTGATAGTAGAAGTTGGCCACAAACACTGTATTTGATTTCTAAAATGGTAACAATTGGTCACAAATGTTGTAATTGATGATCACAATAGTGGTAGTTAGCCGTAAAATCGTAGCTGAAAGTTGTATAGCAGTAGTTGGACACAAAGAACGTAGCTAGATGCTGTAAAAGCAAAAGTTGGTAATAAAGAACGCTTTTAGTGGCTGCAATCACAATAGTTAGCCGCATAGGTCATAGTTGAAAGCTATAATAATTAGAGGCGTCAATTCAAGTCAGCGGATCGGGTTCGGGTCTGACCCGAAAATGACCTGACCCAATTAGGGTCCACCAGAACCGACCTGAATAATAATCGGTTCAAAAACTAAAACCTAAATCTGACTAGAACTAGAGCTTGACCTGGTAACCCAAACTCGACCTGAACTTTCATGCTTATTCAAGTAATGTTTGGGTTTTTGGATTCAACATGAACCCGATCCGAAAATGACCTGACCCAATTCAAGTCGTCATGCTTATTAAAAATACATTGAAGTCTGCCCTTGATAAAAATTTGTTGACGACACGTCACTCGTATTATATTATGTTCTCTAAATCTATTTTTAAACCACAAGTCATCAAGATCATGAAACTACAAGTTGTGATATTGAATCACTGCCAATGTAATTATAAAAACTTAAAAAAAGGAAAAAAAATTTCAGATCTTCTGCAACATTTATAATATAATCTTGTTACCAAACCTTATTCTCACCCAAAATAAATGGGACATTTCCTTCCAACATACTCTGCCAGCATCTCCCCATCTCCCCCCACCTCAACATAACACGCAACATGCATTCCATGACGGTGCGAATCCCATCTCGAAACCCTAAACCGAATGGTCGAAGCCAACTCCAGCCTGAACCCTACCCGTCCCCCCGCCATTTGCCCCTCCGCCGCCGCCCCCACCGACAACTCCTCCACACCAATCTCCCCCCTCACCGCCGTAGTATTCTTCGGTGGCTGGTAAAATGGGAAAAGCACCGGCGAAGATCCGATCGCGTCGTTGTTGTAGAAAACAGAGGCCGAGATTGCATCGTAATAGATGCCGATCTCGCGATTAGGGTTTCGGGATGAGACGTTGAAGGAGATGGTTTGGAGGGCACCGGAGGCGATGTTATGGGTGGAGAAGGAGAAGAGGTGGAAGCGGGGGCGGTGAGGACGGAGGCTAAGCCAGAGGATGAAGATGATTACAGCGGTGATGAGGAGGAGTGTGAGGAAGATGGAGCAGATGAATTTGGCAGCTCGAGTTGTTAGGCTTTCGCGAATGTGGTGGCGGTGGTCGGGCGGCGGAGCAATGGCGGGCATGGCCGGAGAATTAAATGGTTTTTGGGATAATTGTTTTGTGATGGGTGGGGAAGAATAAGGTAGCGGTTTTCTGCTGCATTTTATGTGCGGGTGGGGAAAGGAAGGAATTTTTAATATTATATTGGGTAAAAATGAAAAATATGACTTGGTGTTTTATATATGAATTTTGATGTTTGAATGAGAATTTGAATGATGTATGTAGGGCTCTCAAAACGGTTCTTTGTTCGCGAATAACTCGTGTTCGGCTCGTTAAAAAAGCTCGTATTTGGCTCGTCCGCTAAGTTAACGAGCCGAACACGAACAACAAGAACCAATATTTGCTTGTTCATGTTCGGCTCGTTTGGGCTCAAAATACCACTAACCAATTATATATATATATATATATATATATATCTCTCTCTCTCTCTCTTTGATGTGTAGTCTTTCTTAAAAAAGCCGTTCACGAACAAAGAGTCGTTTTGACAACCCTAATCATGTACGCATAAGATGTTAATTATTAAGGTAATATTTAAAACATTATTTGAATCTAAATTAATAATTTATATTCTATTTTCTTCATTAATACTTTTAATCTTCATTAATACTTTAATTGATTATTAATCTTTGTAGCCTTATAGTCAATTAATTTATATGTAACAGTCCATTATTCTAGTAAATTTTAGAGAAGGGTAAACATCGTTGTGATATCATTCTTTGTGAAAAGAATCTTTAACATAGATAAAGAGGTATTCAAGTACATATGTTTACTGGAAGAGGAATGATGAGGGATTAGCTAGGCTTGAGCTGAAGCCAAGTTATTGGAGGTGACAAGTGAATGTAGAAAACCATTGACAGAAACTTGGCTTAGACCATAGATAGTTTTTTTATGAGACAGACATGATTGGAGAATTGAGTATCGACAGAGGCTTGATATGATTTCATGTAAATATTTTATGTTGGATTAACATCAAGTTGATGAATAGAATTTTTTTGAGTAATATCTATGGTTAAGAGATTGTAAATTGAAGGAAATTTTGCCATAGGATTGAATTTCTCCATGTAATCAAGTATGTGCTCTTCCTTGAAGACCTTAGTTACAAGGTGCTTCTTATGTCAAGCCATGATTTTGTTGATACTATTTTTGGTTTTGTGTGTCCATTTGCAACTGAAGATATTTTGATGTGGAGCAAGTTCCCACGTTCCTAGAACTTGAAGTGCATAAATTCAAGAGACATAGTCTATCTCCATTATGGATGCTTGATGACTTTTGTGAAATAACAAGGACCCAACAGACTGATGGTGTCTAGCATTTCATTCTTTGCTCGAATAATATTAACTTTTAGATGTGTTAGAATAATGTGTTGACTTGTTGTAGTTAGTAGAGTGGGAGAGGAGTAAAGTGAGAGATCAGTGTAAGCTGTGTTGTGTCTAGAGTGAGGCTAAAAAAAAGAGCTGATGGTGAGATCTGGTGATGTTTTGATTGAGGCGAGGGTGTAGTGGTGATGGAAGGAGTGGAGATGGGAACTACTGTTAGCAGTGGAGGAGTTCCAACATATACTATAACATCAATTTTACTTTTGATATTGAACTACAACTAGGTCATATTGTAGCTTGACATATGTATATTGTGAAGTTCATTTTTTTACTTGAATCTATTTGTAGATTATATTCTAAGATTGATTATGGATCAAAAGTTTGAGCATGCATCAACTGAGATAATATATGGTAGTGGATATGGTGAAATTATTGCATAGAGTGCAATAATTAAGTATTAATCAATTAGGTTTCATAACAGATAATTTATATTAGGTGTGATTATGCCACCTTTGTCAACAAGATGATTTATCAGTTATGATGTGTTGCCATTGAGATACCCTTCAAACCCATTGGCTTTAAAGATTTTGATTACTAGAGATCTCTAAATGCAGTAGTTGTTTAATGTAAGATGATTGTTGAGTGTGTTTTTGAGATTGCTAATAAGAAGTTTGAGTTAGTGGGGTATCAGTATGCCATTGATTTGATGAACTAGATTCTTTGTTGCTAAGGATTGTATTAAGCCCATTTGAAGAACGATAAGTTGATGGAATACCTGGATTTAGTATCTCATATAGTGATCAACTGCTCTGATAGTGTGAGAAGGTGTTTGAGGCTTTGTAAAGAGTAAGAAATGGAAAATAATTTATGAAATTTGATTTGATAATTTGTAAATCCAAAGACTATTTTTCATTTTGACTTTCTAAGATTTAAATTTTTTTTATAAAATTTTAAATTTTCTCTTAGTTGAATACAAATTAGGTTTTGCAAATTTGTACTCAAATATCTCAATTTGAGTTTACTTAGATTCTCGTGGAAATGATCTTCAAGTCAAATCACTTACTGGAACAATATTTGCATTGGTGTGAACCGTACTTAGGCCCTGTCAAAAGCAACACTATGCAAGTTGAGCATTCCACCCAAACATAAGTAGCCTCTTCACCCATATTCTTAAAGTGTATTAGATCAAATGAAGCCTAAGAGAGATCCCTCTGCAGGAAAAAAAATATTAAAGTTACTTTTAAAGGCATATGATTTATTTTTAAAGATAAAAATGGAATAGTTTCTAATAAAGTTAGCAACTATTTTAATTTAAACTCTTCGTAGAATAGTTCTAATAAGGTTAGCAATTATTTTATCTTAATCTAATAAGGTTAGCTAATGTGTCCTCACTAGCTCTTATGACACACTTGTTAATGACTAGAGTTAAGACCAAAATAAATTAATGCTATATTTTTTGCTAAAGCAATACAACCTCATCTTTTGTTTTATTTGTTTTAATGTTTTCTCTTTCATTTCATGCAATTTATATATTACTATTATAAGTATAGAAAAAGTGAGAAAATAATATGTTTTAGAACATAAATCATAATCACCCTGAACCTGAATTTAGCTATCTTGCATGAAAATCATGCACTCGTAATTAGGCTAACTTTCTCAAGAGAAAAACGGATATGAGGAATACCTAAGAGATGAGTAGCCAATCTTGGAGGTGACAAAACAATATGTCAACTTCTCCTTGAAGATTTGAAGTGTTACTGATTTACCTTCTTCTTCATGATTTATAATGGAATGTTCTTTATGTTGGGAGATATAAAAATGAATAATCATATTATTTTAGGCAATATGCTTAAGGAAGACTATAATGGTGCTAGTGCCCACACTAAACTATAAGTACAAAACGAATAAGATGTCAAAATTGTGATTTTCTTAAATAAAATTTGATGCAATATTTTCTTCTTATTCACATTTTAGAAAGTAAAAAAATTAGTTTTTGCTAGAAAAAAAAAATTCACATAAAATTAAGTTCAAAATATAATATGCACGATTCGAACCACAATCTTACGAAGAGAAACTAAACATTCTATCACTAAGGGCCTGTTTGGGGCAGCTTATTGGCTGCGGTGGCGGTATGAAAACACCTCATGAGTGTTTGAAAAATGCGTTCGGCCCTGTGTAATCCCGCCGTTGAGACGCGCTTCTACATTTTTGTTAGTAGGTGGAGAAGCGGAGAGGGGGTCGCGTCTAGCGTCTTCTTCGCGCATTTGGGAGAAAAATTCCTCTCGTGCCCTCTATGCTCCCCGTCGCCCCAGCCTTCCCCGATATTTTTCATCTGAGCCCCCGGGCCCCGCGGAGCCGATCCTCCCCTCTCCTTCGCTCTCCTTCGCTGAGATCGCGACAGGAAATCGATAGGTTTCCATTTGAGGAAGCTTTTAATGACTTCCTATCCGATGTCATCCTCCGGTTCCTTGATGCTGAAGGAAGACGATAGTCATGGCAGCACTGGGATTCAATCTGTCCCCTGGTATCATGCTACCCTTTTCTAGGAGTTAGAGATTTTGTTTAATTATTTTTGTTAATGCTTTATTTACATATTTGATTCTTATGTTTTCTAACAATGGTAGTTGGGAGTCTCTTGTGAAGAGAATGAGGCTATGTTATTCTTTGAGATCTCTGGAATGTCTTCTCTTATATATGTCCAATTCAATAAATGTCTTAAATCCTTAGAATTTTTGATATGTGTGCTTTAAGGCAACTAGTATATAGAGTAGTTAAAATTTTTATTTTAGTTTCGTTGCAAACATTTTCACCAAATAGGGGCATGAAAGTCATTTATCCAGCAACAGCTATCAATAAGTTATTCTGCATAAGTTCCCCCAAACAGCAAGTTAACTTATTCTGATAATCTGCAGATTATAAGATTTTCAGAATCAACAGACTATAAATAATTAACAATTGCCCCAAACAGACTTTAAGTCACAGGTAAGTGCGCCCACATAAAAAGAAAAAAAAACTCAACTTTAAATTTTAAACTAAAATGTTTCATACTACTTGCAAAATATTTTTGGAAGATTTGCATACATGCCACTTAATTCCTATGTATTTACATATCTAACAGTTAAATTTTAATTTTCACATATTTGCCACATTACTTATGCATAAAAAGATGCCTTATATTTTTCCAAAGTTAAAATAGTGATATTTTTTATATTATATGAAAGATTTGCGTGGTATAATTGGTATTATGTATGCAAATGCCCCGATAATTTTATATTTTACATGCAATTAATGTATGGGAGGGTGCTTCTCTTCACAAATTAATTCAAAAGGCCCTCTTTTTAGAAAATTTATTACATACGGACACTGCATGCAGAGATGCACGCGGTGTCCAATCTACACCGTAGGTGAGTATGTATTTCAGTGGGCCCCACTTTAAATTTTTTTTTTATTTTTTTATTTTTTAAAAAAATTTGCTCTCATCCTCACCGTAGATCACCGTGATCTACGATGTTGATTGGACACCGCACGCATCTCTGCATGCGGTGTCCGTGCATCTCTGCATGCGGTGTCCGTATGCAATAATTTTTCCTCTTTTTAGGCGCGGCTTCTTATTCTGCAGTTTATATGGCAGCATTTAAGGTAAATATTGCGTGAAAAATATAATATAATATAAAATAAAATTGCACTTACATACATACCACCCAATTCCGATGTATTTACATATCTAACACCAAAAATTGATTTATATATTTATATCAACCAAATTTTTATATCACATAAAAAAATTTACTATTTTAATTAAAAAAAAAATTGAGATATACATTTCCATATAAGAGGAGCTGCATATGTAAAAATTAAAGCTTAAGGGTTAGATAAGAAAATACATAAAAATTGAATGATATGTATGTAAGAATGCCATAAATAAATAGAGTCGGATTCTTATTTTTCAAAGTTACTAAGAAATTGATTATTTTATTTAATTGGTTATAAAATAATTTTTTATTTAATCAACTATTGAAATATGTATAAATGCAGATGATTTTATTTGGTGGATTTACAGGACCTAATTTTTATGATATATCATATCTAACACCTAAAACTTAAATGTTGCAAACATATCCCCCAATTCTCTTCCCCACTCCGGGAATTTTGTGGTCCGAACTAACTCAGAAGGCAGCGATGGGGCCGCGGCGTACAAAAAACTCAGAAACATCTCATAAACTTTCATGTCTAGGGGTGTGAACAAGCTGAGCTTGAGCGAGCCCTTGCTTGGTTCTTGTTTAGCTCATTAAAAAATTATCATTGTTCGTGTTCGGCTCATTAATATATCGAGCGCAAAAAATTTGTTTGTATTAGGCTCGTTTGCTTAGCAAGTGTTGTTCACGAAAGTTTTGACATCCCTACTCGTGCAACCTTGGGATGTAAATATAGGGACAAGATTTTAAGCTTTTTATTTAGATTAAAATATTAATTTGAATAGAAATTAAAATATTTTTATTCTATTTTTAAATTAATGATTTTAATTGATTATTAATCTTTGTGCCTTGTAGTAAATTAAATTATTTAAAAACAATACTCATCAATTTTATTATTATTATTATTATTATTATTATTATTATTATTATTATTATATATATATATATTAAAGGAATTGTCTGAGGCTATTATACGAGCCCCGACTATCCCTCTTGCGCATAAGAATTCGAGCATCACATCCTACACTCAGGAGTAATCGAACCCCAGACTATTGGGGACTTACAACTGACAAGCAGATGTCTGACAAATCTGTTCATGTTTGGCTCATTTTATATATCAAAGCCCCAAAAAGTTATTCTTGTTCTCCTTGTTTGCTTAGCAAATGAATTGAACACGAGCTACTAAACGAGTCGAAGACTAGTTATTCGCGAGCAACAAGCCATTTTGACAACCCTACTTTTGCTGCATCCTTTGATACTTGTAAAGGCAGTGTTGGGATCACAACATAAAAAAATCCATTTCATTGTGGTGTTCAAAGACCTCTAAAAAACTATTATGTCACTTTCTTTGACACAGCTCTATCAATACAAAGACCACTCCCAAATTTCTTCTTTTTCGGCCCTGCTTCTACAACTGTGAAATCAATGATGGGATCGCAGCTTACAAAAACCTGCAAAACTCTCAACTTTCTCATCCTTCAATCTTGCACGTACTCGAAACTATTGATCAATAAGCTTCAACCTTCATGGTGGAGCATAGTTGAAACGATGAAGCGTCGATGACAAGATTGCTCGCTGAAATAATTCTCATGAAGAATTATTAAAACTCATTTGAACTATTTTGACACTTTAATAAGTGTGGGACTAAAACAGCCACAAACTATTTTGCCATTTTATTCATAAAATACTACTATTTTAACTTTTGAAAAGTGAAATACACATTTTTCATGCATATATAGAGTTACATATATTTAAAATTTGAAGTTTACATCTTAGATATATATATATATATATGTAAATATATAAGAATTGAGTGGCCATCATGCAAAAAAATTAATAAGAAAAAAAAGGTTAGGCAAGAGAAAATCTACACCAGCTACCCATTTAAATTTGCCTGAAAAATTATAATCACTAGTAAAGGATCTTCATAATGAGAAGGAAAATAAACAATACCATTTTAAACAATGCAATTAAGAAATCAACTCAAGACCAGAGCTTGTGCCAAAAAAGCTAATGGTTACTAAACTTCCACATCATTCAATCTATAACTGTTAATTGTACATCTCCAACCTCCCACACCCCACACCATTCTTCATCTAGCCATCTCCATTATTATCAATTTTCATCTCAATTATCTTCCCCTGATCCTCTGTTATAAATATATGCAGCCTGCAATATACTCTTCAGTTCCTATCCACTGCATATGGAAGACAAGACTCTCTGCTCCAAAGAACAGTCTTCTTATTCAGAAGGAGAAAGTGGCTGGACCTCTTACTTTGAAGATTTCAAGGTTTCAGAGAAGAGAAAAGCATCAGAAGCAGCTTCATGTAGCAGCTGTTCTTCGAGCCTTCACGAAGCTGGCTCTTCAATGGTGTCCGACGCCGCTTCTTGTACTGCTTGGAAGACTCATCACATCACCGGAGAGATTGCCGGAGAGCCGCTGCCGCCGCCGGAGAGGTTGGGAAACCTAAGCTTGAAGAGGAAGATGGGAAGAGGAGTTTTGGGAGATGATTCCTTGGAAGACACAGCTAGTTCTCCTGTAAATAGTCCAAAGGTTGGGATTGTTTTATCAATATTAATAATTTGTAAATGTATTTTGTTCTTCTTTGATGATTGAGGTTTAATGTTCAAATATTTCTTTTTATGCTGATTATAGGTTGGTGAATTTAAGGTTTTGGAAATGAAAACAAGGAAGAAGGAGGAGAGCAAGGTATTGTTTCTTATGTTCTTGCCTTGTATGTTGGATTTAGTTTGATTAATTTGTTCAAGTCATGTTTGTATTAAAATCTAGAAATTTTAAGTGATAGGGAAAGAAAGAAAATAATCTTATGTTTAGAGAGGTAAAATTGATTTTAATTATAAAAACATATAGTTATAAAGGAATTTAAAGATAAACATATAAGAATTTTATGAATTTTTAAAAAAATTGTAGAAGTCACCATAGTCTCCTCCTAAATTCACCATTGATCTTGAGGTCATTTGTTCGGGCCTTTGACAATTTATTTTGATATAGAAGAGAATTAAGAAGATTGCAAACAAAAATGCAGCTAGACTTCAGGGAAATCCTCATACATTTGATATATATTACCTAATTAGTTGATTTATGTATTATGATTAATATTTTTTTTTTCTTATTAATTGTAATTGGTTTTATCAATGTTGTATATGTAGGAGAAGATGTCTGGTTCTGGGGACTGTAAAGGGCATGCAAGTGAAGGGATTAAGGAAGCTAACTATACGGGAATAGTTGATCAGTGTTCAGAGATAAGAAAACAAGGGCTTTGTTTGGTTCCTATTTCTATGTTAGCAAATTATCTTGGTTAAATAAATTAGTAATTATATCATATTAATCATCTCTCTCTCTCTCACCCTCTCTCAATTCTATTTCTTAGTTGTTAGAACATGTTTTTCTATCTATGCTATTTTCTTTTTTGTTTTGTTTAATTTGGGTACTTAAAAGTTTTCTCTCTTAGTAGGAGTTTGAAAAAGAGAGGTTTGGAAGCTTATGTTGTAGAGAACATTGGACATGCTTATTTGTAAAGTAATAACAAATGATTTTTTTTTTTCTAGTCACAATTTGTCATAAATAAATGGATCACTTGCAAATGATTGCCACTTCTTTAAGAGTATCTTTTCATACATCTCCCTTTGCTCATTTATTAATATATATAAGGAATTTGCTTAGAATATTTGAAGGTGTGTCTTATCTATTTTATATTAAAATGAATAGTGGAATTATTATATTCAAGATTTGATTATGATTAATTGCAAAAAAGAAAATCACTAAAATGTTCTTGGATGGTATAAAAAGAAATCAAGAAGCATGCACGGTATGATTGACCTTGTTCCCATAATTAAATTATGATATTGGTGATACCATTATTCTTAGTATAATGTAGACTTATTAGATGATAATACATTATACATAGAAGAATACTTATCGAGAGCACATGAAGACCTGTCTATAATTCCTTTATAATAATTTTTTTCTCTAAAACTTAAAGAGGATGAAAAGTTTGAGAGGGATTCCTCATTGATTCTAAGGGGAAATCATTATAAAAGAAACAAATGAACATCTTTTTATAACATAACATTTTTTTAAGTAATAGTCAGTATTATTATCAAATGCAAATAAAATAGGCGTGTGTGTGTGTGTGTGTGATCATTTTAAGTCGTAGGACCCCCGTATCATTCGTGAAGAAATACAAACTAGTAAAGATCTTATTTTTATAGAGAAAAGATAGAAGAGATGGCGATGACTGTAAGCCATGGAGAGGTCTTAGAGATTGTTTATTGAACACAAAACTCCAGCAAGTTAAAATGTCTTTAATGTTGTACGACTTTCATCCATGATGTCTTGATTAAAAGAATGTGATGTGGATGCCACATGAAACTTTTAAAGATTAATAGAGTTGAGTCCTTGCTGGTAATGATGACTATCTCTAGTACTTGTACCTCTCTAGGCGTGTTAGGCTACCCCTTATGGGTGGAAAAAATGGGTTCAACCACTTTGACGGATGAGCTCAATCGAGCACACCTGCCAAGCTCAATCGAGCCACTTCGACAGGTGTGCTCGATTGAGCCACTTCGGTTGGTGGGCTCCAAAAAATGCATAAAAATTCCTAAATAGTCATATATGTGCTTACAATATAATTTATAGAATACCATTCACATGAATTCAAAACCTTAAGCGGTTTGTTTACAACTCCAATAAATTTATATGTGCTTTAACAACTTTCCCCCTTGTTTTTAGAGATAATCTTCCCTCACATAAAGTAATTAAGCTCTTGATCAAATGAAGCATATAACAGTAATTAGAAAACCGCAATTAGAATCGAATCACCTAAACTAATTAAGAAATTACAGTAACATTAATTTAAAAAAGCTCTAATGATAAGAGAACTTGAAAAATTACTCCATACATAACAATGAAGTATATATATATATATATATATATTAGCCTTCAGCCACCTACAGCATTAACAAAAAACTAATAAAGTTGGTGACATCAGAGAGAAGACCCCTCCATGTGCAGGCCATTAAGGTAGGTGAGCTCAGAAAACCTCGCAGCAGTACCTGAAAGGCTGAGGACTTACAAATACAAGAATGATGTGGGCCAAATTAAACATCTATTTTGTGTATTAATCAACTCAATTCACATGAAATAATAATTTCATATTTACATTAGCTTTCAAAATTATTGATGTTAAATAAATCAATGCCCCATCTCTTAGTTCTCATGCAATGAATCTAAAGATAAAGATGCAAATAAGATATTGCATTATTCAACTATAGAGCAAGTTGATGAAGCTGTTGAGTTAACTTATTGAATTTGCTCGTTAAACTGATTTGTTGAATTGACTAGACAAATTGTTGAACGAGTTGGCTCAGCCTGAATCGATCGATTTCAAATGAGTGCATACGTTGAGCTGTCATGGCGAGATGTCCGACAGATCTGGATTGTTGTCTTGTAGTTTCTAGAATATGCACTCGGAACATTCTAATGAGATTTTGTGATTGAAATTGTACCATACTTTGAACTTCTTCGTAACGCTTTTTGGCTATGAATATACATTGATTGATTATATTAAGTCATATTTGTTGATTAAATTAAATTAAATTATAAATTATAAATAATAATTTATAATTGATTTGCAATTAAATTAAGTAATAACAAATCAGTCTCGAATCACAATCAGATTAACTAATAATGTCATTGTTAACCGACCTTTTCTTTGCTTTTTAATGTCTCTCGCTTGATCATGTCAGAAGTATATTGGCCGGCAGAACATTATATTAGAAAATGCTAACATGCACACATGTTGTGATTTCTCCATCAATTATTATATAAATATACCCTCTCTCTCTCTCTCTCTCTCTCTCAAACACACACACACATGTTACAATAACCCTCTCTCTCTCTCCCCCTCACTGTGGCTGCAACAAGCCATAACATATAAATGCTGACATAATGAACTCATAAAATGCTCACACATCTCCTCTCCAAAAGTCTCATCCTCTAATATACATAATTTTTATTTTTTATTTTTTTATTTTTTTAGTTTTCTTAAAAGAAATTTCTAGAAGCTGTTAAACGCACCATAACCATCCCTCATGCTCCTAAGAATTCGGGTATCACACCCTACATTTGAGGGGAATCGAACCCCAGAACAAAGAAGACTTACAACTGATAAGCAAATGTCCGACCAACTGATCTGAGTACACGATGCTTATGCTCTTATATATATATATATAGCCCAACAATGAACGGAGGCATGGAGATGTCTAAATGATTGAAAAAATAAATAAATCTAAAGTTGAGGTGGAGAGTGCAACAGCGAAGATATATATATAGTGGATGGAAGGTAGGAAGAAGACATTGGGCGTGGTAATCTATATATATATTATAAATTATTAATTATTAATTATTAATTATTAATTATTAATGCACATAATCAATGATAGAGTTAGGGTTAACTACATATGTGGGCTGCGCACTTTTTTAAAGTTCTGTATATGATATCATATATGATGCTTTCCATCTCACCCAACGGCATAAATATATTATTAAACGTATTTAATGTGCTTCTAATGATTATTTTTTGGCGTTAAATATGTGCAAGCACATAAGAATTATGTGGCGTGTATGCACATTTTCCTAAGTTATGCATATAGGAATAGTTATTTTCTTTTAAATTTTTTATTAATTGAAAGAAGCAAATGAGGAAAAGGAATAGCCAAAATATTTATAACATGTTAACTTGGCTAATGTGAAGATGAATTTGATTTATCTAACAAATAAATTCTTATTTGATTTAGCATGCTATTTCCAATTAATTATGACCATTCACCTTAACACTCTTCATATAACTTTATACGATATCAAATTCATAAAAGTTTCATCAAACACAGAAACTGACATCCCAACAGATAGTATATTTATAAATATAGACAATAAGATAGACAATTAATCAATTTTAAAGAATATGTTAATCTATCAAATAATTTTTTTTTAGTATCGCAAAATGTATATTTCATAATTTAAACATTTTTATTTTAAAAATATTATATGAAAATAATACTTTTAGTTTATGTATTAAAAGTCATTTATTCTTTGTTTTCATCAATGATTAAATATTTATAAAAGTAAGCATCAAATTAGGTTGTAGATCAACATCAACAAATTGTCTTATATATATATCTTTAATGACAATAATATAAGCAAATAAATTGCATTGGTGATGAGATTTCCAATATCCATACATACATACATACATACATACATACATATAGTACATACATATAATATATATAGAGAGAGAGACACATACATATATACATAAAATTGTGTGTGTGTAGAGATAGAGAGAGTGGGGGGAGGGGGGGTAGTTATGGTGATGGATTCATGCATGATGTCATAATATCATAGAAAAGATGAGCCCATCACTCTCCACATCTCTTTCAATAGAGTGGGCATTGCCATTAGTTGCATGTGATCCACAATCACCATTAATGATACCCCCTCCCTCCACCTTGCCACCATCAACCTTTTCTTAAAGCCGCTGAGATTTGTCAACATTTCCATAATTTCGATGTCTGATATGTATCCATAATAGTTCCAAGGTGATGGAGCTATCGTGAATTTTATACTACATGAAATTCAGGTTGCATTTATCATACATTAATATAATCTTAAATACTAACCCAAAATATTGAATTTACATAAATTAATTTTTGTATTACATTTATAACACCAAAATATTTCAAATCACATTAAAAAATGCTGATGTTTAAACCTTTAAAGAGTGAAATGAAACTTTTCATGCACTAATAAGACGACATGTTACGTAAAAACTTGAAGTTTAGGTGTTAGATATGTAAATATATAAGAATTGAGTGGTATGTTCATAAATGTTTCAAAAAGATTATATTTGGCACATATCCATTTAAATTCGAGTCTATATATATATACACACACTTTATAGTTAATTTTGAAGCACAACCTTACAATAGAATTTTAGGCTTTTTACAATAGAGGAGTAGAGCCTAATTCTTTTTTATTTTATTTATTTTTGCAAGAAAATAAATAAAAAATTTTATTAATGTATTAATTGGTAATTTTTATTGGATTAATCTACTTAAAATAGAAACATATTGTATTGTGTATTTATTTCTTATTTTTTTCTTAACCATAGTTTAAATCAGCTAGCGAAGAAGAACAATATAAGGACGAATGACTACGTGCTGACATCCGGACAGACGCACGAACAACTATGGATCGGGAGACCGCATCACCACAAATTCACATGTATGTGAGGATGATCATACATTACTTGTATTTCCGCATGTCTTTTTTTTAGAACTTTCAAATTCACCCAATTAAGACAATTTTGATTTCTCTTTCTTTGCAATTTTGTTATTAGGTCAAATTCAATGACTTACATATCTATCCCAATCCCCAATGAATGATGATTCATTAGTCCACACTATAGTTAGATGTCACTATAATTCAGGGAATCAGGATCTATATGATAGGCTTGCTACAACCAATGGAAGACATGCAGCACATTATCTAAAGTATTGTTTAATTTACTTATTGACATAGACATGTGGCATGAAATGTTTCGATATTTACATATTTAACACGTAAACTTTAACATCTAAATTTTACATTTTACACTTATACCACCAAAGTCTTTCATGTCATATCAAAATACTACCATCTTAACCTTTAAAGAATGAGATGCACCATTTTATACATAATAGGTAAGTTTTATGTATGTAAATAAATATGAATTAAGTGGTATGTATGTAAATCTGCCAAAAGCAAATCATATTTACAGTTACTGAGCGAAAATTGCATAAAGAAAGAGTAAATTGTATGCTAATAGAAAAATATTTTATACAATCCAAGCACAGTAGGATTAAGATGGAAAACCAAAACTAACAGTAAGATGTTCAGCAGAGGTTGCAAAAGAAAATGCAAGGCCAGAGAAGCTTTAAGCAAATAAATGCATTGGTAAATATCAGTTGAGTGAATGGAACTTTGAAATTTACAAATAAATAATTTAAATACTAGAATGAAATTTCATTTAAATACTAATACCATTCCATGAAGACCAATATGGGCTAACTTCACAAATTTTCTGCAGGTGGCCATAAATTACCAAGAAATGTTACAGAATTTGTTTCCTTCTTCCTTTTCAGGCTTCTGGCTTCTTCTATAGTTCCTATAGGAAATGAGAAAAAAACACAAAACAAAATGTATTATTTGCAAAACAGATTAGATTTAGATCTAAGAGAATGAGTTGCAAAAGAAAACAAGTAGTTATAAGTAGCCATCTTTACCTTGAATGCCGTCGATAAATACGGAAGTTAAACTTCTCTTGATCAATTTGCATATTTCTCATAAACTTTTCCATTGGAGTCGGTGATTTTGGGGTATTTACATACGTACCTCTCAATTCTTATGTATTTACATATCTAGTACTTAAACTTTACTTTTGTACCGTTATGCCACCCAAATCTTTCATGTCACATCACATCAATAATACCATTATTTTAACTTTTAAGAAGTGGAATAAACTTTTCATTAACAAGGTCACATATATGTAGAAGTTGAAGTTCAAGTGTTAGTAATGTAAAAATACATAAGAATCAAGCGGTATGCATGTAAATCTTCCTTAACAAGGAGGTGGCAAACCTTGCATTTTCATCATACAATAGTACTTCTTAGGAATTCTCGCACCTGCCTGCAAGCTGATTTCCACAACAGCAGGCGCATGCCCGTAAAACCCACGACCACCGTCCAACAGCGTCGGAGGATCATGCGGCCTCTGATGCCAGACCAGCTTAAGCGGCACCAAGTCGTCGACCTCCGCCTTCTTCCACATGTGAATCCCCCGCCATCCCTCGAACTTAAACACGCCACATAGCCTCGCCTTGTGCCCAGATGGTCCAATATGAACCTCAGAGCAATGCTGGCAAACTTTAGCCGGGTAAACCAGCAAAAGCTTCTGTACTCCTACCCTCAGTCTTTCCCAAGCATCCATTGTGTTCTGAGCGATTCGACTGATTTCATCAGCCTTGACGTCGATCCAATTATCTGGAATAGAGTTGGGATTGGGCAGAATTTCGTTCGAAATGTCGGCGCCTGCCTGATAGCATAGTTCGAGTACTGCGGGTATGCGATCGAAGTCGAATCGCTGCTCGTGTTTGATAATTTTTTGAAACATAGTCTGCAGGTGGAAGGCTTCGACAGGAATGAGGATGTCGTTGATGTCACCGTCAATCCAGTTGTGGATGCCGCCATTGATGTTTTGTTTGTAGCCACGGCAAGTTCTAATTTCATGGCCTCTAGATCCAATGAAAACCTCGGGGCAGAACCTGTCACATGTCATGTGAACCATATTCGTAAGGGGCATTTACATACATACCACACAATTCTTATATATTTACATAGCTAACACCAAAACATTCATATTTACATGCATATCACTCAAATCGTTAATGTCACGTCAAAAGCGGCACCACCACCAACACCTTTCTTGCATAGGTTTATTACACCAAGGTATTATAAGTGTAAATATCAAACTTTAGGTGTTAGATATGTAAATACAAAAGAATTGTTCGGTGTGTATGTAAATTTCCCTATTCATAAATTAAATCTTCAACAAAGAAATGATTTTTCAGTTCAGTATGCAAAGACAGTCGGTTTTTCCTTGTTTGGACTTTATCTTGTACCATATTATATTCTATAGACCATAATTTTTTTTAAAGGGTGGTATTTAAAAATACGTGTCCCTATATTTGCTAGCAGTCCTCGTAGGGATCGAACCCGAGTCACAGGGGAATAACGACTGACAACACAGCTGCCTACCAACTTACCACCCTAGACGCACATATTCTATCGACCATATAAATGAGAAAGAAAATAAAAGACTGCAATCCGAGTTTGTAGATAGATAAGATACAAATGCAATATCAAAATTGCCAGAATAATGGATTGTTTTAATTATTAATCAACCCAGGGGCATAGGAGTTTAAAAGCTTACAAAAGAAACACACCTCGTCAAAATAAAATGTCCTTCACCTTTCTACAAAGAGTTTGGGCCCAGTTCCTAGAGGTACATAATGCAATTTCACTTGAAAAAATGTGCAATGGCTCCATGTCAGAAATGAAAAGCTAAGGGATGATTCAGTTTTTTTTAAATACAGAGAACTGAAATGTAGAACCAACGAGTCAAATAAATTTGTAATCTTCACTTCTTCCTCCAGTCCATCCCAATCAGTTTAATTTCAATTTTACCATAGTTCTAGTTGACCAGCATTAAGGCACTATAGTTCACTTCAAACAGTCCGTATGATTTTTTGGAGTAATTAATGCGGCTTTAGTGCGATGTGAACAAAATTACTCCCAAAAAAAAAAAAAAAAAAAAAGAGAAGAAACAAAAAACTAATTTGCAGATCATGTAGTCTAGTCTTTTGTTTCTTGATGATGCAATTTCCATTGTTATTGGCTACCGAGGTTGGTTGAATAAAATTTTAATCTTACAATAGATTAAATCTTTGTTAATCTTATCCACTACTAATGGTATGAGGAATCTATATACATATTTATTTTAGCGCACGTAATATAGGGTTTGTTCGGGATAATTGCAGCTGTTTGAAGAAGTAGTTGTGAAGCTATTGCTCGGAGAAGTTGTTGTGAGGAGATTGCTACAGTAGAAGCACCATGTCTATTTGGACAGTTTAGTAAGAATCTCCTGTGCTACAACTATTTCTGAAATAAAGAAAGTAATGCCTTCGTAGAAAGTAAGAGAAAATTCACCATTTCAGAAATAATTCAGAATTGAACATCATAAATAAATTTCAAGATATAACCAAAAATTAGAAGTCTAATATATTATATTAAAATTTATACATCACTTAATATTGAATAACACAAAATTTGGAAATAACATAACAAGTAATATTATTATAATAATAGACTTCACTTCTAAACGATCAACCATTTAGAGAGTTTTTTTTCTAACGCTGCTATCTACACATGGTCGTTATCTAAAGCACATTCCTTGCAGTAGTCAGCCTATCTAAAGAAGCCACAATTATCAAGCGATTTGTTTCCACGACACCTCCCAAAGCTATCTTCTCTCGTGGCGTAAATACACAACATTGCATACCACATTTGCAGTGCATAATTCTAGAGTCAGTAGAAATCCTTAAACTCATATTTCCTGATAATGCAGAGTTTTTTCCCCACCAGTGTGTCCTGATAAACTGCGTTTATGACTACTATTACTAGTTTTGAATGACATTTCAACAAAATCATCTAGGCTGTTTTCATCTTCACTGTTCTGACTCTCATTTATTAAGTTTTCAAAAACTTGATGACTTGAAGTCCAAGCATAAACACCAGTGGCAACAAATCCTCCAAACAATACATCAAGCTTACCATCTAATTCAGGACAAATACCATAATATCTAAATTTTTTGCTTCAAGCAATACCTATAATGGAAAATAACGTAAATGTGAATATCATGTACTCATGCATATGTATTAAAAAATATATGAATAAGTTTTACCTCTAACTTCTCTTTCCACCATTCGGTCGAGGCATCAATAGTCCGTGACTTTTTTTAGTTGTATCGCAACCTAGCTCAATTGCACCTTGTTTTAACTCCTTCCAATCATTTTGAAGGCATCCCATTCATTTTTTAACTGGACCTTATCATATTCTCTCCCAATTTTTTCTTTAAATTTCTTGATTATATTTTGTCACCCCTCTCTATTAAAGTGTGTGATAGGTCAATTGTCTGCCTAAACCTCTTGCAAGCATATTCACAAAATATTATTTTAATTTCTTTCATTGGAAAAACCCTAAATAAAACGACACAAGAGGCATTGGAAGCTTCAATAACAATGCATATACATGTATGAAGAATTAATTTTAGAATTAAGCTTTCATATTTATTGTAAAGGATAAGGCCTAGAAATTATCTGCCTTCATTCACATTCTACTAATCCATTAAAGCATATGTAAAAGAAGAACAAAATCAAATTTAAAAACATCATCATACCCATATTCTTTCGGAATAAACTGCACATATGGTCTAGAAAGAATACTCCCTTCTTCATGAATATTAAATGAGCGAAAAGGTAGAATAAGAAAATAATCCCGATCATCACATTCTCGTCGTTTAAAAAAAAATCTCAACAATGAAAAAAAAAAAGAAACCAAAAACTGTTCATCCAAAAGAAATGGAATCGTTCCTCACCGAACTTTCACTTATAGCTAAACATATGAAATTTTCAAACATATCACACAATTCTAATGTATTTACATATCAAAGACCTAAAAATAACATAGTTTTGATTCAACACAGAGGACTGAGCATTGAGCTAAATAGTGAATCCAATGGTGAGAGTAGCGAATTGCTGGCCTTTTTTTTCTCACGGATTGTAGGAGTGAGCAATGAGTTAAATGAGAATTTTTTTTTGGTAAAGAGGGAATATAAAAGAGTGATTTTCTTCAAATAAATAAAAGCATAAGCTGAGAGGATATTTTGTATAAGCCTCCGAACAATAACTTTCAGTGGATTACTTCAAACCTTACATGAGAAAACATTCATATAGCTAACAATACATCTTTATGGGTGTCATGAGTACAAAAGTGAGAAAGCATATAAGGTATTATCATACATATCCTAAAGTCGAAATTTATGGATCTAAAGAAACTTTATCACTCTCTTCTCAGTTGTTTCGATGCAAAAAGCTTGAATTACATTTACACTACAAATTGTGGATTTGTGCAATTAGAAATTTCCCAAAATTTTCACCCTCCAATAGATTTTCTATATAAAAAATTTTAAATTCTAATCTAAACCATCTATGTGAGAAGATTTTCGTAGCAAACCTAAGTAACATAAAATTCTCAACAAATCACACATATCTATCACCCCAACAAATGATGAATAAAAAATATCATATCATGATCACAAAACAACAAAAAGAAAAAAATCAAGAGATAATCATAAATTTCAAAGCAAACAATCTAACTGCAAAAAATCTAATACGCAAAAAAACTAAAACCAAAGCTATTCACACGAAGCCACAAGGGAGCCAGCCAGCCCTTTGGTCTGGACTGGGCTTGCCGCCCAAAGAGAGGGTACTTCCCACTCTTATCAATCTAATATATATATATATATATATATATATATATATGCCCAAGGGCTGATTTTATTGAAATAGAAAATGATACATAAAGGTTGTATGATAAAAGCCCAAAAGAGGCACTCTACCATACCATATAAGTGCAGTAACACCCCAACAAGAGATACATATAAACTCAATAAAATATAAAATAAATTTAAAACATGCAAAAAACAAGTAGCTAGGAACGAATCAATTTAGTCTTGCCTCTTCCTCTAGTTTTAGAAGCGGAACCAGATAACAAACTTTGAATAGTCGTGCCATTGCCAGGAGTCACCAAAGTATCATCCATTAAGTTTCCAAGTTGGAATGAGCCCTCAGCTTCTTCTTCCGCCGAGAAGTGTAAACATGTCATTCTTCATCTGAAGGCAGACTCATGTGACTCATGTGATCCTCGATCTGATTTGATGTTAACACTGCAATAGGAGGAAAGACAATCATTGCCACTGCGATAGGTTCCAGTGTATGTGAAGTGTGAATTGTTACCTCTGCACCTGATGCTTCCTGAATAAGAGCTGCGGGATTATCCTGATTTTCAGTTCGAACATTATCTATTGTAGTATGGTCAGGAGAAGGGATCTCAGGGGCATACACCAACTCTTGTCTTATGATGATTCCCTCTTCAGATTGGTTGTCATCAGATTTGATGGGAGGGCGTTCAGACACATGGGATGCACTAATAGTGTGTTCGAACTTTTGACTAGTGGTTCTCAAATGTGGGTGCAATCTGAAACATTTCTCCTGTGGGTGTCCAAACATCTTGCAGTGTTTGCAGTAGTATGATTTTTGTTCCGTAATGATTTTTTGTCAATAACCATTGTGAGCAGATCCAAGTCTGACTTCTTCTACATCTGGTAGTGTAATATATCGTTCAATCAAAATCTTTGCAATAAAGGGTCTTGAGAAATGAACTGTAGGTAAGTCTACCTGCAAACGTTTTCCAAGGATAGCCCCAATTACATATAAGATAGGTAGGTCAAAGAAATGAAGTTTGAGTTCAGGTAATAAGAACCAGATATGTGCAATTGGGGGTTCTTGACTGGGATCAAAATTTGGGATCCATTTGAGCAATTTCATATGTTTGCCCTAAATTGTGATGAATTTCTTTGAGAAAATACTCTGTAATCATCTTCTGTATTCAGTTGTATCATAAAATGTAGTCCGTCGAAATGAT